ATATGAATTTAATTTGACACAAGGGGAAACTTTAAATTACTTTGGGCCCCTTTCCGTTCGGTCACTTTAAAGTGACTTTGGCACTAGACATTCTCAAAATGAGTACTTAAACTGTGAAATATTACCTTGCCATAATGTGATGTATTTCCAATGTCAATAATTTTTTAACAACGCATCTTTTAAAAATACTATTTTAAAATTCCTTTTTTTTTTTTTTTTTTGGTAATGGACACCAAATAGGGCTTACATAATTATTAAAGTTTTTTTAGATAAAAAAAAAAAGTAAATGTTACATCCACCCGGGTTTTGCCATACTAACATAACGGATGACCGAAAACACACATGAGGGTCGACATATTTTAATGGATAATTCTAAGTATACATAATTTGGTTTACCTATTCTCACAAGCACGTGGACCCCACGTGAATAAAATAATCCCAACACGTGATCTCCACACCTCTATTATGAGATACGTAAAGCATTAGTTAAAAAAAATTAGGTACATCGTCATCTAGTATGATCCTTTTTTAATTCACATAGGGCCCCAGCGCAAAATGTGATGGCCGTTCGCCTCTTCTGACAAGCAATTCATTCACTTAGCTTTATCCTATCCGCCACGTCCCAGAGTAGTTGTGTTTAAACGTGCGGCTGCGGCCTGCCCCATATCCTTCCCCTCGGGATACGTGATCAGATTTCATCAGATAAGAAAAGGTGCCGCCTTCAAAATCCAGCCATACACGCGTCACTCAAATTATTTTGGTAATGATTTCCATTAACCCTTCACGTGACTAATCCACCAGGAGCCAATCACATTTGTGCTTAGACAGCATTAAATGCATATATAAGATAGCTATTGTCTAATTTTTCATTTTTGGAATTTTTTAAACTTTAGTACAATTTTTCATTAAATGCATATATAAAATGATTAAATATTGTTTATTTTGTGCAACTGTTTAATGGATTGTAGATAATTTTCAATTTGATACAGGATTTGGTGCGAGATGTCCTTACTAAAATGTTTATAATTTATACCTTAGCATTTAGATGTCTATTGACCATTTGTCGTACCTAAAAACTAACATTAATCAAATTGTCAACGAAGTAGATATTTAGTTTACGGAGAAATTAAATTGTTCCACCAAAAATGTCAACATTGTATTATCATTTTTATATCAATATACTATTCATCAAAGCAAAAGATCACCATTGGACTTGCACATGATGCTTCGTGCTAAGGCTTGACAACTCTCGAATCGAATTGAAGTGAATCAAACTGAACAGTTATTCTTAAATTAAATACCCGAATGAGTATCTGTATTGATGACCTACGGGTTTTGTTCGATTCTTGCTTCTACCGAAACTCCCTAATTTTTTTTTGTCTTAAATAAGTTAAATTATTTTATTTTTTAAATTAATTTGCTAATTAGTTAGTCCAAATCCAAAGTATGATTTTCTGATTTCTAATTTTCAACAAAGTTCAACTTAATCAAATTGACCTAATTTTTACTCGAATTTCTTATTTTACTGTTTCTGCCGTCTTGAGAAATCGAATTGGAAGCTTGGCTGTGCTTCGCTTCATTATTATGAGCTCGCTATCTTCCTATTATTGTGATTTTAACAATCAAATTTATGGAAAAACTCAACAAAGAGAGGCACAAAAGATATCACGGAATTAGACTACATTATTTTGTAAGAGTTAAGATTGAACATGTTATAATTGAATTAATGTAATGTTGTTGTAAAGATAAAAAAATTAATTATTGTACTGAACCTAGGAACCGAATTCGAACAATTTCATAATTAAATTTGAATTTAATAGTTCCATTTACTAAATATCCAATTCTTTTTAGAATTGAATCGAATCGGCCATGTCCAAACTTCATGCTATATAAAAAATACTAATGATAATAATAATGTGCTATACAAAAAAATTGAGTGATAATAAGGACATGTTTGATAGCCTTATTTTTCCATGGAAAAATACTCAAATGGTGTGTTTGATGGCCAAAAAAATTCCATAAAATTGGTTTTTCATTTTCCTCCCATGTGATGCTATTTTTTTGGTTTTTAAGGAATTCAATTTCCTTTGGTGGGAATTGGGTTTTTCAACTTCTTCTTCTTCTTTTTTTTCTTTTGGAAATAAAAATAAATTCTATCTACAATTATATCTCTTTAATTGACAAATTTCATGAAAAATAAAACCAAACAAATACCAAAATATTTAAAATTTCAACATTTTTTAGATAAAAAATTATACTAATTAAACACATTTAATTGGCAATTCCCAGTAAAATAAGTTTTATATAATTCAATTCCCTGAAATTCGTTTTTTCACCCAAATTTCATTAAAACAATCAAACGAATCCTAATAGTTATTGTAATATAAAATACTTAATCGCATTCTTTGATAGACGAGAATTATAGGTCAAGGTTTAGCTATATCTTGCCCATGGACCAAGACTGATAATTAGCCCCCATTTGGATTTCATTTTGTGGAATAGTGTTTTTTTGAAAAATGAGTGGTTGAAAAAGAAGAAAAAGTTTTCGATTTATATGTAATATTATTTTATGGAAAAATGAAATGTAATTGAATGAAAAATAATGGGGGGCCAAACGGAGGTTTAGTAATATTTTATGAACTTTTTAGTATGAAGAGTGATGGATTGATAAGTATTATTTTAAATGTGTGGTGGAAAGTAATATTTAATTTTGACCGGATAGTATAAGAAACTTTTAGTTCATGTTGAGTTTAGTCAATAATTAGTTTTTAGTAAATTTTGATAAAAATTTAAAAAAATGTAATTAAAAAGCTGATAAAATTTGAGAATTCCATTAAACATGTGTTTAAATTAATTCTTAACTTTAACATAATTTTTTATTATTTTTTTAACTAAACCAAATGAGAACTTAATTGACTAATAATCCTTTATTAGATAAGAAATTGAAGGAAAATGATGTTTTGATTAGTGATTTTTAATAATGCTAATTGTATATGAGAAGTTATATAATGATTTACATACCGATGATATATAAAAAAAAAAAAAAGAGAATTTTTTTATTTGGTTGAAAAAATTCTGATCCAACCATATCTCAAAACATCATATATATGTAAATCATTATGGGCATGTAATACAATCGATATTTTTTTGAGAATATATGGTTAAAAAACAAATTTTTTTTATTTACGAGTAAAATATTTTATTGTGTAAATATGTAGTTCAAAATAATAATTAAAAATAAAGAATTTTTGTTCAAAGAGGTCAAAGAGGAACTAAAATTTCCCAAACACAGGCCTCATCAAACAATTTACTATTTTGAATTTCACAATGAAATCATGAATTGGAAAATAATTAAATAATGAGATAGATACGGGTGGCAGTTCAATTTTAAAGGAGAAAATTGATATTTTTTGGGAGATTATAAATTTTGAAGAACGTGAAATTAAAAAATAGAAATAAAATTTGAATTTACACATAAAATTGCATTGATTGGAAGAACGTACAAATAAAAATAAGTTTGGAGAAAGATGAATTTTTAGAGAATGAGGCTAGATTATGAGCCAAATTTCAAATTTCAAATTTATTTTATTATTATTATTTTATTTTTTTTCAGTTTTAGTTCATTTTACAATTTATTTCTTAACTTTCCCTTTTTCTTGTGCACATTTTTAAGTGGTAAAATAAAATAATACGTTTTAAGACGAAATAATAAATTATGTACGCTATCTAGTGATTCATTGCAAGAAATTAATTCCACTTCATCTCCTTCCTTTCTTATTATGTATAAATTATTTTATTTTGATTTTTTTTCCAAAATTCGAAGCTAAAAACAATGTGAAAATCTTGATTGGTTCATCCAATTTTCGAATTAAGGTCGCAATCTTTTCTAAATACTTGCTTGTTCATGTTAATGTTATAATTAACATAAACAATGTTTGTAATGATATTGTAACAACAACCCGTTAATAATGTCTTAGTAAAATGGATGGCTATGGATTGGTTACATTCCCACCACATTTTAATTAAATTAAATGTCATTAAATTTTATTCATTATCACATTTATATTCTTAACTTTTTCTTAATCACATTCTTATTTTTTATATTTCAGTTATCAGAAAATCTTATCATTAATCATGATTTTCGTCAAAAAAATATTGTTATTAAAAGATGGTATATGAATATTTTGAAAGAATACGGGAAATTAAAAGGTTATTAACCTAATAAAATTATGTTCCAGTGGCAAGTTGTCTTTTTAATTTTCCACCAACTCCTTATTACACCACCATTTTGTAGCCTCATTATTTAAAAAAAATAAAAATAATATACCATCACTCACACCAAGTGGATCCCATGCACCAGCTACCCTCCGACTAAGGCGACGACGGCTGTGCTTGGAGGAAGAGGGTTTTCTCCTTATTGACTCGTGAAATGGGCGAGGAAAATGGGTGGTTTCTCTCCCTTTAGAAATCTTTTCACGTGTTAACTTTTTTTAAATTCCAATTGTTGTTTTTTTATTTGTTTTGCAATAAAGGTTGCCACGTCAGTAAATTTTAAATCCATGTTAACACTCTGTTCCCATCCCTGTCCGTCTAGCATTATTGGCACGTGAAGCACCATTTAAAAAAAATATTTTTTCTCCGGTAAAGCTACCTTGTCAAAATAATTTGACGAAAAGTTGGACACACTGTATATGACAGTAAATCACTGAATAAAAGATCGATTGTATTTTAAATTATTTAATGATAAAATGTCATGTAAAATTATGTCAAAAAAGCAATAGCATGATTGATTTTCCCCTTCTTACATGTCTTTAGAAATCTTATCTATATGATTTTGAGAATTGATTTTTTGATCGTTAGAAGAAAAGTGAGGTCAACCTGTGAGAGAAGAAGTCAAAAATTACGGCTAAAATAATGAAATAACGATCAAAAAATTAATTTTTTTGATAAAAAATCCCAACCCAAACATGCTCTATATCTCTCTATGCGCCCACTCTCGCCGCAAATAGATACACATATACATACACACACACACACATGTTGGCATCTCTCCTTGAAGAACTTTGAAAAAGTTGATCTCAAACAACTTAGCTCGGGTTTTAATCTGCTCCAATTTCTCGAATATGTCGACACAAATTCGCTGATTTAAATTCTCTTATCTTTAAAGACCAACAAATCATTCCTCAAATCGATTACATTGAGTTTGAAACAACTAATTTGATCAAATAATCTATATATAGTCATATATAAAAGATATATAAACAGAAAGCTCTTCATATATGAAGGGTTTAAGGCTATAAAGATAGGTATATAATTATATCGATAAATAAGGGTTTTTTGGGTTTTTTTAATATATAAGAGGAAATGCTAGGGGCAGGATTGCAGATTAATAGGAGTAGAAATGGGGAAGATCGGTTTTACAGCGTACCGAGGGCTCGCCGGAGTCGAGATCACCTGCGGAGAGCCCAAAGTGACATCACCGCTAGTCGCTACCAGAGCCGAGCAGGTGAGCCTCTGGAAAAAGCCAGGCTGGCTGATGCTGTGCCGATGGTGGCGGCAACCGAGCCGTCACCTCCTTGTAATCTGGAGAGGTTCCTGGAGTCGATCACCCCTTCAGTTCCGGCTTCACATTTATCCAAGGTTTCATTGCTTGTACATTAATTGAAGTTTTGGAATCTGTGCTTAATTAATATTTGACTTTATCAGTAGTAATTAGTTCCAAAAGATGGGTTTATTCTATTAATGTTATTAGGACATTTAATGCGATTTTACGAGTACGAGTGCTGTAGAACATTGTATCCTGCTTCGATATGAGATCTTATTCATAGAAGGTTGTAGCTTGTTTAGCCAGGACAATTGTTTCGTTGGTTGTTTTTAAGAAGTGGTAATTTAATAGTTTCTTTGATGATTTTTATTATTGTTTTGACCTGTTTTAAAGTTTATTGAAGTGGTCATCTTTCAATGCTTCATAATTATTCTACATTTAAAATTTAGTTCCCACAAATTCGAAGGTGAATTTTGTGTGTTTTTGAATAAGTAATTAATGTGTTTTTTAATGGTTATTTTCTAATACATTTTTATGCGTCTGGAGCAATGTGCTGGTGCTAAAATCATACTAGATGTAAAATCGCATTTTCTAGTTAGCCAAACTTTAAAGAAATTAAAAATTGTGAATTTTTTTCGTGTATTGTTATATTTTATCACAAGAAGCAAGTGGAATTTTTTTTCCTGCCTCAAGGAAGCAATTCAAGCAAAGCTGCAGTTACAACATTAATATGCAGAAAATTATGTCCTAAAGATAGTGTTTGGCTTTGCTAGTGTAATAATCTTTTTAACTCGAAAGATGTGGTGCTAACAAGTAGAAATCTTGAATAAATGAGTTTTATCCTGTTTATTAGCTATTGATCTTTTGTTAAATGGATGCTGACTGAATATGTTGAAAATTGTTAACAGACGACTATTAGGGGATTGAAAACGAGCAATGTGGAGTTTCAGCCATATTTTGTGCTTGGTGATTTATGGGAGTCATTCAAGGAATGGAGTGTATATGGTGCTGGAGTGCCGTTGATAATGAATGACAGTGATTCCGTGGTTCAATATTATGTGCCCTATTTATCGGGTATTCAATTGTACGTTGACCATTCAAAGAGTTCAGCTAAATCAAGGTATCTATACCATAATAAGTTCCTTTCAGATAAATACGTACCTCACGGAGTACCACAAGTTCAGAGAGCCTATTACTTTCCAAAGGAAAAATAAAGGATAAACTGGTGCAGAAAGACTCAAAGACCTGCTGTTCTCGTGTTCCATTTCATGCATTATGTTGTTTATTGAGATCAAGTTGGCAAATTTTTGTTTGCATTATTGTTATTGTTGTGGTTGCCAAGCTACTCTATGAAACTCCCCTTTTAAGTTTCTTGCCAAAAATAACTTTTGATTTTTCAGCTTGTTTCAACACACTGTAGACAATTAATCGTATCTGTAGCAATTTGTGATTTGCCTTGTGATAGATGGGTACTTCCAGTTTCAAGAATGAACTAATCCAAGTTGAGCAGTGATGCTGTTGTGGAAGTTTTTGAAAACACGTGTCCATCCTGAAAAATAAACTCATGAATATGTTATACAGATAAATGGAAATAGAATTGCTTGTTTTTGAATGTTGTCAGTATGGATTCCTGTATGTGTGAGAATGAGAGAGGGTGGTTGGGGGGAGAATGTGTGTGTTATGTCTAAAATCAATATACAGGTACACATCTATGTGGGTCTGTGTCTGTGTGATTCTTTTATCTTTAATAAATAGGTTGTTAGATTATAAGTGAAAAATACCAGTCACTTTGGAAGGTTACTTGTGCTCCCTTCATTCCCAGTACAATGTCTTGGTTTAAATTGGGTTCATGCTTTTGGTAAGAGTTGAGAAAGGTGACTATTTGATGGAACACTATAGTTTTACCACGCAATATGCTTCACCCATTTCTCTCACATTCAACAAAATGACTGATTTTTCTTTGTGCTCTATTTTGTCATCTTCCTTTATAAATTACTATTATCTTTAATTTGCTAGAAATCAGTGGAGTAATTTTGTTTAGTCTGCTTACATAATTTCATGGCGTTTAGTTATTTACGTTCATGATGGCTATTGAAGCTATTAGCAACTCAATATTTTATAGTTATCTTTCAGTATATTTGTTTGCTAGTATGTTTCTGTTATATACATGAAGAAACACACCTTGCAACTTGCTAGAGTGACAAATGAACTCTAAAATGGAAGACATGGTGCCCGAACACACTCGCCCACATTTTGCTCAATGGAATGCACAGACTGATGAGTGTTACATGGACATCCAAGTTCTTCTATTTTATTTTTTTACAGGGTCATGTGGTGGTTATAGTCTGTATAAATAAGATGCTTTTGTGTCTGAGATGTGCGTATTCAGTTTCCACGTATTGGTGGTCCCACGATAAATTAAGTATTCAATTTACAATGCTTATCGGGTTATACTTGCTTTTTTCCCATTGAGAACTGAAAAACCAATATTATAGGTGTCTTAATTTTGTGACCTCGAGGTTTTGTGCTGAGTCATGTTGCTTAATTTCTTTCTTTTTATCAGTGAAAATGCTTACAGGATATATTTACTGTGTCTTATCCTTGGCTGCTGTGCTAGATGTTACCACGTGGCTTTTTAAGTATCATTAGGCCTTTTTCCCTTTCTTAATTGATTGATTACCCTGGATTAGTACTCATTTATAGTTTTGGCGAATTAATGTTCCTCAAACAAGTCTCGCATTTACATGGTGTGATAGGCAACTTGGTGAGGAAAGTGACAGTGATAGTTTTGCGGATTCTAGTAGTGATCGAAGCAGCGACTGCGGACTGGATAGAGGTGGCTTGAATTATTCAAGCCAACAACATTGTTATCGTTGTCAATCAAGTGATAATCCTCTTAGCATTGACCGATTGTCTGTGAGTGATCAGAATATGGCATTTCAAGAAGGTTTTTCTAGTGATGAAGGTGAACCTGGAAGTTCGCAAGGTTGCTTGCTGTTTGAGTATCTCGAAAGAGACCAACCTTACAGTCGAGAGCCTTTGGCGGACAAGGTTTGTTCCTCTTCAGATTCTGAATGCATCACAACTGCTTTTTCCTTTTCTTTTCTTTTTCCTTCAATTTTTTTTAGGGCAGAGAAATTGAATAACAGTTCTGTACTCTGTTCCTCATGCTTTCTATACTGAAATTGTCACAGATATACGATCTTGCTTTCCGCTATCCTGAACTCAAAACCCTGAGAAGTTGTGATTTACTCCATTCCAGTTGGATTTCTGTGGCCTGGTAACAATTATTTTCCGAACTCATGGGATGCTCGATTCATTTACTGATCTCTGTGTGACCATACGAATGACTCACGGGGAAACATTTACTTTTGTAGGTATCCTATTTACAGGATACCAATGGGACCATCACTCAATGATTTGGATGCTTGCTTTCTAACTTTTCATTCTCTTCATACCCCCATGACAGGTATTTGAAACTCTATCTCCCACTCTCTTATACACGACCCTCCATGGTATTACTACTTCTCATCATTATGTATTGTCCGATGTCACTCCTTTTTTCTTTTCCTATGCACATTTCTGTATATTTAGAAAAGACCAAGCCATTACATATTTGACCTCCATACTTGATTCTTTATCTCCAGTGATATGTGGAGTCAAACATTGATTGCATTTATTAAGTTTCTTATTTTGTTAGTAACTCCTATCCTATTATGAACTTATTTTTATATATATTAAGTGAAAAAATGATGATTATAAGCACGCCCAAACACGTTCAATAAAAATTTATTTTCAAGTTTAATTCACTTGTAAGCTCTCAAACATCCTCTTAGCATTTACTCCAACCAAGTCGCACTGCTCTTTTTTGTAGTGCCCAGCCACTTGCTGGCTTTCCTCTGATCTTTTTCTTTCTAAATTTTATGAGGTAAAACGTTTCTAAGAGAATATTATGGTCATGTATGTGCTACAAATGATGTCTTCACGCTCTTTAGATTAGATCTGACTCTCTCTATTAGTACCATAGATGTAGAGAGTAGAGAGTCTTCTGTCGAGTGTAGCGAAGGGATTCTCCTAAGAGAAGCTTTAGAGGGAATAGGGGTGAAACTACTATTAGAGTTGCTTCAGTAGTGATTGTGTGGCTGTCCGCCATGCTAATGTGCCTTGGATGATCCACATTTCAGGGTAGGTGCCGATGAGCACATTGAACTATCCATATGGTTGAGAGCAATTCTTTTATTTTAAATCGACCATATTACCATCTATTATTAGATTGACTAATCCTTTATATTGGAATGGGTAAGCCTGCGTTATTGCTCCTTCATCTGAATTATATGGAGTTTAGCTTTGCTAGAATGATGTATTCTGCATTTTGATTTATCTCTTCCACAATGTCACATTATTTTGAGCTTGCATTTGCACTCTTTTCAGGTAACGAGGCTATCCATCCTCCAGTTGTTACGTATCCCAGTGAGATGGATGGTGTTCCCAAGATTTCATTGCCAGTTTTCGGTCTTGCTTCGTACAAATATAAAGCTTCATTGTGGACTCCAAATGCAGGATGCCAGCACCAATTGGCAAACTCCCTCTTGCAGGATGCTGATAATTGGCTGAAGTTGCTACAGGTCAACCACCCGGATTTCCTTTTCTTCTGCCGTTGATGAAATCTAGAGATGGCATCAGAACTGTCATGGCTTCAACATTTTAAAGTTTTGATACCATGTCGTCCTAGAATCTAGTAGGAAGTTTGAGAAATGGGTTCTTTTCCATGTTATTATTCCGTTGTTAAACTATTATGATAAGTGACTAATCCAACCCAACTCTCAAGCCCAGAAGATGGAAAAAAAAAAAAAAAAAAAAAAAAAAAAAAAAAAAAAAAACAGAATAGAGGGGGAAAAAATAAAAGAAAGGAAGGAAGAAAAAGTGCAGAGGAGAAAAAGAAAAAGGGAGTTCGAAAAGGTTAGAGAATCGTCTGAGCCTCTGAGGTGACAGTAGTATTCGCAAAAAAAGAACAGAGAATGATGTGAAGTACACTCGTAGGCTTGAGCTGAACCAGGTAGTGTATGCAGCACTTCGGCTTGTCAAAAAACCTGCACGTCTTGCCTTTTCATATTTCCTCAGTTTATTTCATGCAGTGTTTTTAAAGAACATGTCATCTTTTCTGTCTTGACGATAATGTGGGTGGTTGTAATTTATATCAGCACTTTAAGGGGATTTTGTTAGAATCTGAGTGGGGGCGAGCTTTAGCCCCTTAATGATGTGTATAAAGTCTGTTCAACAAATTTTTAAATTATAACGTAGCTTCCTAATGGATGTTTAGATATATCACTTCTTCAAGATTGTACGTCATTTGGTAATTGTGATTTCTGTATGCGCATGCCCTTATTGTGTGCTTTGTTGCTATGCTTCTGTTGCAAGTAGGAACTGTGAACATGGCTCCTTTTTTTATGATTATCCTTGTGATTAGCAGTTTCAAATCGTACTCTTTTTTCCCAACTTGGTAACTTTTGGATTCTTTACGAGCGTCTCTCTTTTATCTACTTAGAGCAAAGTTGAATGTTGCACGGTCCGAAGTGCATGTTTGATATGCAAAGCAAGAGAATGATTTTTGCTTATTTTCGTTTCTTAATGTAGTTTGGTGCAATCCAATCCTTTGAAACATATTACAAATTTGCATTATATTTTATTTTCCGCAACTTCTCTGGGATCTTTACAGCAGGGGAAGCAGACTCCTTTTTCACTTGTAAATATACATGGCAAACTAAGCTATGAAATCTTAGTTCTTGAGCTTCTTCTCTAATGCCTCCGAAAACATATTACCCATCATATGATAGAGGAAAACCATTTCAGACAATTGTTCGATCGACATACTCCCAATTATATCTTTTCCAGCTTTCTACCTTTGATAGTACAATTTCAGTCTGTCGATGTATACTGAAGCATTTCTCCCTGTTGCTCCCATCTGCTTCAGTCTGTGTTGTTGTAATGCTGTCATGTCCTGCATGGTGGTGAATCTTATATGAAATGAAATGGAAGATTACCATTCAAAACGGCATTCTCTTGATTTATTAGTTATATTGCTTTTGTGAAGTATATGGGTCAGTTTAATATAGAAATGATCTCTTGTTCATGGTGGGCAGTAGTTGTAATGTCCACTTTTTTTGTGAAAGTCAAGTCTGCGGTGGGCAATTGATATCTTCCCATTGTGGATAGCAGACTGACTCTTTAATAATAGCTATACATTATCCTATTGATATAAGGCCTTCGCCACAGGAACACCATACCTCAAGAAATTCCACTCCGGTTGCGACTTTGGACTCCTGTTAAAATTCTAGACCTACCTGCGCCATGCATGTTCCTCGCAATTGATAAACTTCGAATAATATCCTTTTTCGTTTTCTCGAACTAATCAACTTTAACACACTTGGGCACACTGGTCATTCCCCCGAAGTTCCTTCTCATAAGCTATTACAGCTTTTACGAATTCCTACACAATAACGAGCCGTGTTAGATCATACGAAGCATGTTTGATGCACAATGCTGGATATCACTCAATGCTATAATGTAGAAAATTTCATGGGTGTCGTAACTATAAATGATATATAATGAGACTACATATGTAAAATGAATATTTACCTGATTTGCAGATGCACATCATGGATAATCAAAATCATCAGACTCTGTTTGTCTCATTCTTTCTGGATGAAATTGTAGTTCGATAATTAACTTGCCTTCTTCAGGATCATAAAACACCTTCAATCAGACCATCAAGAGCAAAAGCAATTGGAACAAATCGGCAAACCAATCGCTTCAGGCCTTGATGGTGATAACTATTTACCAAAATCTCCATTTTTTCCTCGTCTAAAGAGTCTTCAAACCATTTATGCAATGGTATGTTTTCAAGTGAGATGGTGGTGGATCAACACCCTTCTGTTTGCCTGGTAGTGTTCGGGGTTTCGTCTACTCCGTCCTGTTTGCCGGGTAGTGCTCGGCGTTTCGTCTGCTCCGTCAAGTATATATGACCTGAAAAATGAAGGCGGGGCTTCCTCCCCCATTTTACCTCCGGTGTGAGAATTAGTTTATAAGCTTGGAAAAATGTGATTGGCATTCTAATGGTGAAAAAGAGAGATAGAGAGAGAAAACCTTTTACTTGTGTCACGTACGGAGGTATTTATAGACATTAGGGGCCGGATAATCGCTGGGCGGATGTGGTGCCACGTGTCCCACGTTGGTGTTTCCATTATGCCCACGTTCTGAGTGGGGGGTCTCTAGTTTCCCGCCTGGAGATTGTTTCCGTATTAGCGGTTATGGAACCTAGTTAATTCACTAGGAGTTTTATGTTCTACCAACCTATATCAATAGCCCCTATCCCTTGTCGATGTTCTCGGCAAGGGGTAGCAATTTTCTTTATTTAGGTTGGTTTGAAAATTTTCCTCTTCCCCTTTTTTTCTTTTTTTGACAAAGGAGTAGTTCGTATTAATAAGTCGAACAATGTAAACGCGATCGAGTGGTAATTTTACTGCACACATGGCACCCCACCAATGGTCCCAATATTGAAGGGAAAATTCCCCCCGAAAGTTAGAATTCTTGTGTTTATAAAAGGGGTGTAATTCCTATTTTTGAGAATCACTTTTACTTTCACTCAACATCCTAGGCCTCCTCCCTTCTAAGGTAATTTTCTCTCCTTTCTAATCCAAAGTCTTGCTTTGAATTTCTTCTCTTCATCTTCTTTGTTGTCATGTATAAAACTATTCTTTCTTCTCCTTCCAATGAGAAAAGTGATGGGTATAGTGACTCGACCGAACCTTCCTCAGAGGGTACGGGAGGGGATCCAACCGACCCACGGGGGGCCGATCGGCGACCAACGGGGCTAGTCGACGGCCTACGGCCAGCCTTCGGGCTTGCCGTCCCCCGCCCTCTCCTAAGTCTCGCGGCCTATCTGGCCCATCGATCCGGCCCTCTAGTGACTCGCCTCCTTCATCTGGTAGATCTCTTCATTATATTGATAGTGAAACTCATTCAATCGATTCTCAGGCGTTTGTTCCAAATCCCCCGAAGAGGCACATTAGTTCTTCCAAATTTCCAAATCAAAATTTAGAAATTGGGCGAGGCTCGGCTCCTGAGGTTGTCCCCCTAGATATCCCAAAAAGTTATAGTCTTTACAATTCACCACTTAAGTTGGAAAAATGTCTAGGTAAGTATGACCGGGTGGATGACTATGTTTATAGAGCCCCCGGTCCTAAAGAAAGACTCCCCGGGTCCGACCCTCGCGAGATAGCCGTGTACAAGGACGTTATGGACGGAGGTCTTCGGTTCCCCATTCATCCCTTTTTTGTGTCGATTTTCAACGAGTTCAACCTTACTCCTAGTCAAATTAATCCTAATGCATGGAGAAAGGCGTTATATTTTCTATATGTCTGTCTTAAACAGGGAATTTCGCTTTCCATGGATCTTTTCAGGTGTGTTTTCGAAATGCATGAGCTAGTTCAGTGTAATGCATTTGTCTATTTTACCACTAGGGTTCCTTTGCAATTTTCTAAGTTTAGAAATTTGAATAGCGGATGGAAGTCTCGGTTCTTCTTCGTCCGGCCTTCAACGGGTCAATTCTCTTTTAACACCAATTGGCGACACCCCCAAATTCATCTTTTCAATAGCCAAGTAGAAGTTACCCCCTTTCTAGAAGCTCAAATTCAAGAGTTGGTCAATGTACCGCCTTTTGCACCTGACTTAGAATCAGTTCTGACCATGAAGAACATGTTGATAGTGGAGATGAGTTGTCCTACCGGTGGGTTGTTTCCGTCGATTTTTTTTTATATTGCGTGCACACACATTTACTTATTATTTTTGCTCTTAGTTTGTCGGAACTAATGAGTTTGGATGTGCGCGTTGAGGTATGGACTTTGATCTTGATGGGGTATTGAAGACTCTGCCAGGAGGCGATGAGGGGCATGCCTTTGTTGATGGTTAGCTCCTGTGCTCACCTCTTCCATCCTCCTCCCTTCCCTTTTTTTTTTACTCTACCTTGTGACCTTAACGGATTCCAACTTATATGTGCAGGGGCAGAGCTTGATCTTAAAGGGGTTATGGATTTCATGCCTGTCCAGGGGCAGGCGGGTGAGTCGGATCCATCACCTATCCCTTCGAAGAGAAGGAGGGCGGCCAACCCAGGGGAGAAGTCTCGGATGATCAACAAGACTTTCCAGCCTTCAGACGAGCCTCGTGAGGTGGCTCCAGTTCCTAGCCGGGAGCTCCCAGTCGCACACGTTGCGAGCACGAGGACTCACTCCCTAACTTTGGGTTTCCTCCCACCTGGGTTTGTCATGAGATGGGGGTGCTAAAGTCTTTGGTGACACCTGCTCGTTCCAGAGCAATTGCAGTGCGTAGTGCAGATGACATTGAAAGGGCTGAGACTGTTTATCTCCAGAGGGTATGTTTCCCATTTCGCAGTTTCTTTCATGTTGGGTCTCGCCTTTTAAGCTAGGTTTTAATGCTTGATTTCACCTTTTCCCCCTATTTTTTTTTAGGTGGTGGCCCTCCAGACCGGACTCGCAGAATCGAATCGCCGCCTGGTCTCGACGTTGAAAAATCTCACTGAAGAAAAGAAAAAAGAGGCTCATCACTACAAGAAAAAAATATCTTCCTTGAAGAAATATCTGGAGACGTCGGACGCTCTAGCTCGCAAGCAGGAGATGGAGAACGACAACCTACGTTCTATTTTGGCTTGCGCTCTTGAGGAGGCGATTGAGAAGTATAAGGCCTCGGCTGAATATGTTAGAGATCTCAAGGCATCTGTGGAACAGTATAAGACGTTGTCTGATTACGCTAGGGCTTTG